GATGGGCAGGTGGCAATTGGTGGGCAAAAGGTCTGCTCTATAGGAGTTTCTACTGCTGACCACCTTCCAAAAATACTAGTTGCCTGCTTTTTCTTTTGAGTCACTGGTCCAGAACAAGCATGCAGATAAGCCGGAGTCAGAACTTGATAAGACAAAACTCCTGATGTGGATAGAGGAGAGGTCAGCATTATTCCTCTATTATTATTATTATACAGTATTCATATAGCGCCAACAGTTTGCGCAGCACTTTACTATATAAGGAAGACATTACAATTCAAGACAAGATGGCAAGGAGGGCCCTGCCCATGAGGACTTACAATCTAAAAGGGAGGGGCTAGTGATACATGAGGAGGTAGCTGTGTGGGGATGAATTGTATGAGAATGTGATGGTTCAGTGGTTAGGTTGAGGTGGGATAGGCTTCCCTGAAGAGATGAGTCTTAAGGGAAATCGCCAAAAGGCAGTCAGAGTGGGAGATAGACGGACAGATTGGGGTAGAGAGTTCCATAGGATGGAAGAGGCTCTAGTGTAGTCCTGGAGGTGAGCATGGGAGGAGTTGATGAGGGAGCTGGAAAGCAGGTAATTTGAAGAGACTAGGGGACGGTTAGGGTGATCCTTTGAGACAAGGTTGGAGATATATCCGGGGGCAGCGTTGTGGATGGCTTTGTAAGTGGTTGTTAATATTTTGAATTTTATCCTTTGGGCTATTGGAAGCCAGTGGAGGGATTGGCAGAGGGGTTTGCAGACACTATTCTCTCATTCCCCTTTAATGTGCACTAAATAAAAAAAAGCACACATACAACATGCAGAAAACAAAAAAAGTGTCAAACTGCAAGTAAAAACAACCCCCAAAAGTTGAGTGTTTGTAAATAGTGCTGTGAATACACTTGAAGTTTGTCGGTAAATAATCATATACAGAACTTTTATTTCCCTTTTTCGAAACAAAAACAAAAAAAGGAAGAAGGTCTGTGGTCATTGTTACTAACCTGACCAATCCTCACATTGTTCAGGGTCGCTCATGTGTGACTTTCTTTGTTGTTCCGTCTCCGAGTCAGAGTCAATTTCCAGATAGATGCAGTCTGTGTGCAACAGAAATTAGAGATGTATACAAAGTAAATGACATTCTACGTTGATGAGAAGAGCGCATAGAAAAATGTTTATGGCTTTTACAGTCTAACAAGTCATCCACAAATCACCTGCAGTTATCAGGAAGAGTATCTTGGGGGCAAAAAAAAAAAATTCTGCCCCGGGCGCTCAGAACTCTGGTTACGCCACTGCTACAGTAAATACATTTATTTTTGATCAGGACAGAGTTAGAACCCCAGTCAGGTTTATTGATGTCGTCACTTTATTTGTCCTGTTGGCAAATGTCAACAGCCTACAGCCTAATGCTGGCCATCCACTAGTAGATTTCCAAATGAGAGTTCGTACAAAAGATCTTTTCTTTATCACCCGATAATGTCATCAGACAATTCACAAATGTCGTTCGAAATTTCATTTGATTTTCACGGTTGATTTTGGAATGAATGGAGTTTCCCCAATGAAAACCATATTCACTGTTAGAATTTAATTTGTTCGAGAAAAATTTGAAATGCATGTTTTTTCGTACAAAAGTTCTTGTAAAAATCTAAGCAGTGTATGGCCAGCCAAAGGGGAATTTATCCTCAATTTCCATCAAACAGGTTCCCTGTTGTGTCTCTGGGACAGGAAGTGAAAGGACCACATCAGAAATTAAATAAATAAAATAAACTAGAAACAAACTTCCCCCCCAAAAAAGT